GGCTGGTGATATCGGTCAGGAGTCCCCTCTGGGCCATGGACGTATTATGCTCCTCTCCTTCCCCAGAATCGAATTCTAGCAAGTCGTCTACGGCACTCGCGGCCAGAGAATCTGAGCACCTCTTGGGCTGTGCGCATGGAAAGGCGGGGGAAGGGAAGCCATGGTTTTATGGGCTGCCCTGGCCCTGGTCCTGGCCCATGGAGAGCAGTGGATTTAGGATTTCACTGCCCTCAGAATACTCCTTGCAGCTACAGTTTCTTGGTCTGATTGTTGGCTCACCGGGGTGATGGGCTGCTTAGCTTTCAGTCCTTGATTCTGCCCCTCCTTTGTGGTAGGCTGCCTTCCAAAAGCCCTGTGGCTATTTGTATAGTGGTTATGCCTCGCAAATTGTGGGGTAGGGGCCCCAATGCTAGGTGCTGTATGCTTGTAACAGCCAGTCCCTGTCCCAAAGAGCTTGCATGTCAAGAGACTCATAGACTTTAAGGTCAGAAGGGACCATTATGATCATCTAGTCTGACCCTCTACACAGTGCAGGCCACAGAATCTCACCCACCCCTCCCAGAATAATCCTCTCACCTATGTCTCAGATATTGAAGCCTTCAAATACTTTGAATGCTCCAAGATGCAGAGAATCCCCCAGCTGTGATCTGTGCCCCATGCTACAGAGGAAGGCGAAAAACCTCCAGGGCCTCTGCCAATCTACCCTGGAGGAAAATTCCTTCCCGCCCCCAAATATGGCGATTAGCTAAACCCTGCGCATGTGGGCAAGACTCACCAGCCAGACACCCAGAAAGTTCTCTATAGTAACTCCTATCATTCCTCCATTGACCTATTTCCCACTGATAATGAATGGGCAATTAGTTACCAAGATCATGACAACTGTGTATATCAACGGTAGTGTTGATGCATCGGCAACCAAACTATTATCGAGTGTAGGCACCAGGGTGCAGAGAGTTTAACAGAGGATAGTGCTGTGGTCTGGTGGAAAGAGCATCCTCTTGGTTAGGAGATCTGGGTTCCTCATCCTGCTTTACTACTGACCTGCTAGGTGTCCTTGGACAAATCCCTTTCCCTCTGTGCCTCAGTTTTCCTTCCCAGCCTTCGTTTGTCTTGGATCTATTGAGACTGTAAGCTCTTCCAGGCAAGGTATAGCACCTATCAAAATAAGCGTGGTTTGAATATAAATAATTGAATTTGAGGATTTTTTGTGGACACATTTAACATGAATCTTAGCTCTGCCCACACTGTACCTCTTGGGTCCCTAAACAAAGGAACTGAAGGCTCCTGATAACAGTATGTTTAACGTGACAAGAGGCCTGTTTGAAATGTCTTGTGTAACATCCCACGGTTGGCTTAGGGAGCTCAAAGGATCAGAGTGGAGCGGGTTTAGTTTTAAAAAGCTCGCCGCCTTTTGGTTTCAATTTGTCATGCACAAGAACTGAATGCTAATGCGCCCCGTGGCTGCCCTCTGCTTGATTGGGTGGCTTCATGCAATGCACAGTCAACCTGTGGAACTCCTTGCCAGAGGATGTTATGAAGACCTGGACTTTTACAGGGTTCAAAAAAGAGCTAGTAGATAAATTCATGGAGGTTGGGTCCGTCAATGCTTATTAGCCAGAATGGGTAGGAATGGTGTCCCTAGCCTCTGACAGAAGCTGGGAATGGGCGACGGGAGGGAGAACATAAGAACGGCCGTATTGGGTCAGACCAAAGGTCCATCTAGCCCAGTATCCTGTCTGCCGACAGTGGCCAGCACCAGGTGCCCCAGAGAGGGTGGACCGAAGACAATGATCAAGCGATTTGTCTCCTGCCATCCCTCTCCAGCCTCTGACAGACAGAGGCCAAGGACACCATTTTATCCCCTGGCTAATAGCCTTTTATAGACCTAACCTCCATGAAATTATCTAGCTTCTCTTTAAACTCTATTATAGTCCTAGCCTTCACTGCCTTCTCTGGCAAGGAGTTCCACAGGTTGACTACACGCTGTGTGAAGAAGATCACTTGATGATTCCATGTTCATTCCTTCTGAGGCACCTGTCATTGGCCACTGTCAGAAGACAGGATACCGGGCTAGATGGACCTTTGGTCTGACCCAGTCTGGCAGGATTTGGCTCAGATGTTGTGAGTTGTAGGATGTGAACAAGGAGCTAGTTCTGCAGGTCACAGCTGAAGCGCATAGATGCTGAAGGCCAGGAAGGACCATTGTGAATCATCTAGTCTGAGCTCCTGTATGGCATATAATGATTCCTGCACCCAGCCCATATCTTGTGGGTGAGCTAGAGCTAGTGCTATAGAAAGCCTCCAAGTGACAGAGAATCCATGCACAACTCTTGGGAGACTTCTAAGGGTTAATTGCACTCAGCACTAAACACTTGCACTCTTTGTTTCTAGCTTTAGATGCTGGCCATTGGATCTTGTGGTACCTTTGTTTGCTAAAGAGCCCTCTGTGATGTGGTATCTTCTGCCTTTGTGGAGGTACTTACAGACTGTGTTCAAGTCCCCTCTTAGCCGTCTCGTCAAGAACATGAATAGACTGAACTCCTGTAAGTCTTTCAGTGTAAGGCAGGTTTTCCAGAAGTTTAATCATTTTTGCAGCTCTCTTCTGAATCCTCTACAGTTTCTTAGACTATCTGCTTTTGAGCCCTGGGTGCCTTTGGCAAACACTGGCACTGTATTTTAAACAAAAAACTGTAACACTTCCCTTTCTTTTGACAGCTCCTTATCGAGCCTGGTTTGCAGCTAATCCAGGGAGTATTCCTTCCTTGTTTCCCTGATGTTCTGGTCTGGTTCCGGTCCTGTCATTCTAATCCCCATGTTGATCAGAACGGAATGTAGGATCCCTTATGGATCAAGCAGGCCAGTGAGTGAGGCACAAGAAATATGCCTAAATGCGCTGATGAACAGGGAGGGTCTTACAGGCATTATATTGGCATTCAAAAAGGTTCAGAAAAGGGCAAGAAAAATAATTAGGGGTTTGGAATGGGTCCCATATGAAGAGAGATTAAAAAGACTTGGGCTTTTTAGATTAGACAAGAGGAGACTATGGGGGGGATAGGATAGAGGTCTATAAAATCATGACTGGAATGGAAAAAGTGAATAAGGAAAAGTTATTTATTCCCACAATATAGGAACTAGGGATCACCAAATGAAATTCATAGGCAGCAGGTTTAAAAGAAGCAAAACTAAGTTGATCTTCACTCAGCACATGGTCAACCTGTGGAACTCCTTGCCAGAGGATGCGGTGAAGGCTAGGACTTTAACAGGGTTCAAAAAAGAGCTAGATAGATTCATGGAGATTACTATTAGCCAGGATAGGTAGGAATGTTGTCCCTAGCCTCTGTTTCTCTGGAAGTGGGATCACGTGAGGATTACCTGTTGTGTTCCCTCCCTCTGGGGCACCTGGGAGTGGCCACGGTCGGCAGACAGGATATTGGGCTGGATGGACCTTTGGTCTGACCCAGTCTGGCCATTCTTATGTTCTTACAGGTACACTTAATGTCCAACTACTTTGCTGAAACAGGGACTGGGGAGAGAGACATTTTCACAAGTGACAAATATCTTGTTTTCAGTAGCGACTGTAGAGCCTAGAGCAGTGGTCCCCAACCTTTTCAGGTTGTCGGGCGCCGGGGGGCGTGGCCGTTCGCCCGCCGGGCGCCAGGGGGTGGGGACACTTGCGCGCCCGGGGGCGCCCCCCCCATAGCCGCATGCCCGGGGGCGGGGCCCCCCATAGCCACATGCCTGTGGACTCTTCTTTCTTATTCAAAGATGGTACTGTGACTGATGAATCCTAGGTGTACATTCCTGCCAAATGCAATAGACAGTGTGAATCTGTGGTGCACCAGCTTTGTCGCACATGGACACTGCTGACCCCAAGTGAAAGTCCCAGAGTGCAGCATCAGAAGCAGCCATCTGCCGGGCTGCGCTCAGGGACTTTACCTGCACGGTAACAGTGACACCCCCACCCGCCCTGGATGTTACTAGGTAGCAATCTGGTACTCTGTAGGTAGATTCACACTTCGATGTGCAACGCAGTAACTCATTGTGTAGACGAACTGGTTAGTCTAAGTGTGGGTCACTAATAATTGCACCCACGTGTCTCTATTATTTCTCTGTCCTCACTGGGGCTGGCAACTCCTCCCCATTTGCAATCCTCTCTGCACATCAGTCTCTTTGCAGGTCACTTTCTTCCAGCTAAGGATGAGAGATGCCCCTGGACCCTGCCGCCTCTCCCCCACTTGAACTCCATCTCCACCTTCCTTCCGCTGCTGTCAGCCCTGTGCCCAGGCCAGCTTGGCTTCATGGTGCCCCTTTCTACTACAGGCAGCTTTCAGCATAGTTTGTGGAGGATTAATAAAAGCCTTACGCCACTGCTAGAGTCCCACAGGTTGCTTATAGCCATGTAGCTCACCTTTGATTGACACATTTCTAGCCTGCTATGGCACAGACCTCTCAATGAGGATCCAGCCCAAACTCCTCCTGTGTGAAGTGTTCAGGGAAGGTCGGTTAATGGTACAATAATCCTTTACAAGTAGAGGGGAAGCGTGCTCAAGAGAACATGATTAATGTCCCAGCCCTATCTGCATGTTAGAAATCGTTCTGAGTAAGCATTATGGACCATCTGGGCACCGTGATGTTGCCAAAGAGCTCGAAACACGGTTCCTCTTTTTCGCATTTGCCTTCCGCTCAGCCTCCCGCAATAGTTCTGAGCAGGGTGTGCATAGCTGGGGTGACAGTCTTTACAAGAATGTCCTGTGGATGGACCACGCCCTGCGGGGATGGGATGGGAGGTAGCACATGAGAAGTAGCGTAGGGGAGAGCCCAGAAAGCCCCTAGGGATTGTGAGTGTATATGCTTGAGGCTAAAACTCTTAGCTATGGGAAGTATCTCAAGAAGAGAGGGCACATGGATTGCTTTGCGGGGGGGTGTCTCTGCAGTGTGTCTTTAAAGACTCAAACGTAAAGGGGTGGGGTGGGGGGGTAATGGGATATTTCCAGCACAAAAGCTCCTTTTTATTGATTTCGCTGTCTCCTGATCTCCGCGTCTGCAAAGAGGCCCTTTCTTCCCTCTCCGCCAATAGGCAGGAGCTGTCAGCGGAGGGAGCCCTTGGCTGCTTTCCATCGCTTCTGCCAAGGAATGTGGTTAAAAAAAAAAAAAAAACGAAACGGGAAAAACACAACAGTGGACTAGCCAGGAGGGCCCCATACAATGGAGCTAGCTCGGAGCGCTAAGCGGACACCATGAAGCGGTAGCAACTGCTGAAGGATCCCTGTTCCACCTTCTCCAGACCAGGTTTGGCCTTTCTTCTGCTCTCCAGCTTTGGGTTTCTCCCTCCCTGTTACCTGTCAGCAGCTATTGGATCCCCCCCCTTCCTGAGTCAATACGCTGTGCACCGCGGAGGGAACAGCAGCCTGTTGCTTGGGGATTGTCTCCAAATGGGACGTTGGAGGACAGGGAGGCAGGATTCCTGAGTTCTGTTTCTGATTTGCTGTAGGTCTCTCCCCCCCCTCCCAACCCCCAAACTAAGTGCCTCAGTTTCTCCATCTGGGGAACCGGATCAGATCCTTGCTGGTGTAAATTGGCATAGTTACTCTGAAGTCAAGTTACAGTCCTTATTGGGCCCCCGTTATTGTAGCATTGGAGAGCCTCAAGGCCTTGAATTGATTTATCCTCACTACCCTCTGGGTAAGCGGGGCAGTGTGACAAACCCCATGCAATGGGCTGGCTGGACCTTTATGGCAAGCAGGGCTCAGCCTGGCCTGGGAGCTAGCTGCTCTCCCTCACCTTCCCGAGTGATCCTCGGGAGAGGCGAAGGAGGCTGAGTTATAATGCCTCCCTCCCCTGCCCCCCCCACCCCCCGTTTCTGCGGAGGGGAGCAGAATCAGGAGCACTCCATAAACACAGCTGTGCACTCAGTCAAGGAGGTGCTGGAAAAGGAGCGTGCAAAGGCCCTGAAAGCTGGGAGATCTCCATGGAGAGCTGCTAGTGTCTCCAGGAAGGGGAGGCCGTGGTGGGGAAACGTGCAGGGAGGAAGCCGTGTAGGAGAAACACCGCAGGCCCTGAGAGCAGGAGCGAAGAAGCAGAACTTCTGGGCCGTTCCAGGGTGGGGGACTGGAGCATCTAGCTTAGAGATTTACGGGACCTTTTGTTACCCCAGCTGGGGAAGGAATGTTTAAGTGAGCTGGCGGGAAGGCCAGATCCTGGGAGCCGTGGGCCACCAGGGAGGGGGAGGAGACAAGGAAGTGGTCACTGGATGGGGCTAGCAGCAAAGTCCCCTGCAGTGCGGTATCCAGGCTCATGGCAAGATTGCACTGACAGGAGCTGAGGTGCAGGGGTTAAGTGACTTGCCCAAGTCCACCTAAGGAGTGTGTGACACAGCAGGGAATTGAACCCAGGCAGCCTTCGTCCCAGGCTAACACCCTCATCCCGGGGCTGTCCTTCACGGCACCCACGTGCTTTGGCAGAGGGCCTGCCCCAGGGTGGTTCATGACAGGGCTGCAGCTTGAGAGCCATCCTGAAGGCACCTAACTTTGTCAGGGAGCTGATGGTGGCATTGGGTCACACTCTCAGTCCAGCCCAGCTCGTTCCCAGCAGGGAGGCGAAGGGTTAAACCGGCAGAGGGACTTCTGCCCTCAGGAGGGAGGGTCGGGAACCCAAATCCAAGTCTCCCTCCAGCCCTTGCTGCAAGCCCCAGTTCTTGTGTTACCTTGTACAAGTCATGCTGGGCCAGTCCTCTCCATCTCTAAAACGGGGAAACCTGCACTTCCCTTCTCCCACCCTGTGCCCTGGCTACTCAGGTGGTCGTGTGTGTGTGTGCGTGCGTGTGCGCGTGCGTGCGTGCGCTTCTAATACACCCAGCACAATGGGGACCAGGGGATGAGTGTTTGGGGGGCAGGGACTGTCTTAGTTTTGTGTTTGTGCAGCTCCTGGCGCCCTGGGCTCCTATCCTGGGCAAAAGCAAAGGAGTTGTGCTTTGAAGATGGAAAGTTGTGGAGGGCTTAGCAGCACCTGCTGCAGAGAGGCTGTTTTACAAGGCATCATTTCTCAATGCATTTTTGGAAATCTTCCCCCTGGCTTTTTTCCTCCTTGGACGGCAGGCAGGGCTGGGTATCCCAAAATAGCTATTCCGCGTCTTTTGAGCATGCCCACTATTTCGAAATATAACTCCCTGTAAACCTCATTCCATAAGGAGCGAGGGACGTTTCAGAATAGCGATTTTTTTCGAAATAAGTGCTGTGTAGATAGCGCCAAATTTTGAAATAACATTGAAATAAGATCTGCAATTTACATAGCTCAAATTGCATATCTTATTTTGATCTACAGTGCAGTGCACTTCATCAGATGGATGTGTATGTGTATGTAAATAGGTACGTATATATGTGTGTGCGTGTGTATGTGTGTATATGCAGGGCTCGACGATCGCGGCAAAAAGCACTCGCCAGCCCCGCACCGCGCATGTGTGAAACCCGCACTGTGCGTGCGCGGACCGCCAGTGAATGGGGTGACTGGCTGAAATCTACTCACCACAGGCTAGTGGATAAGCATATCTGTCGAGCCCTGTGTATATGGGTGTGTCTAGACTACAGGGTTTTGTTGACAAAACTATACCTGCGTCTACACTACGGCCGAGTTCTGTCGACCGAACTCAGCAGTTTTGTCAACGGCTGTAAACCTCATTCTACGAGGAATAACGCCTTTTCTTGACAGAGTTCTGTAGACAGAAGGCGTTATTGCATCTACACTGTCCTTTGTGTCTACGCTCTCATGTCGACAAAGCGGCTTGCTTTGTCGACAGAACTGGATGTAGTCTAGACGCTGTTTGTCGACAGAAGCCTGTAGTCTAGACGTAGTGTGTGTGTGTGTGTGTGTGTTAAGATCCTGATTCATTCCTCTGTAAGGTGCCTCTGTTGTTTTTGCAGATACAAATTAACCCAACGACCCCACTGAGGTCTAAGATACGCAATTCCAGCTACGAGAATAGAGTAGCTGGGGTGGATATACCTGAGGTCGAATTTCTGCAGCATCCCCACCACAGAAGGTCAAGTTAGCGGGTGCTTTCTAGACCCACTAAATCAAACCCTGGGAAATTTATCTCCGGATAAATGAAGACAAGCCTTTAATCTTTCTTTGCCTTGGTTTTCCCCATCTATAAATTGGGGCTGATGCATCCTTTCGTCAGGATAAACTGATTAAATGTGTGAGGTGCTCAAGTTACTTCCTACAGTGGCAGGAGTCACAATTACCAGCATAGGCAGCATATTGCATCTCTCTCAAGCAGCTTGTGCATGTCCTCTGCATGGTAGAGTTTGTCTGATGCTTGTCAGAAATCGCATTTCCACCTGTGAAACCTACCGGCTGAGAATTCCCACATGTTTTTTAAAGGCCAGTGAATTTTGCTCCCCTGCCTTCTGGGAGTTGGGGGCGTGTCCTGTTTAACAGAGGGGTGATCTGAGGGAAAGGACTTTGCCATCACTGCATCCTCTGTCCAGTACAGGAGCTTTCCTCCCTGTCAGCCCCAGTGCCCTACACACCCTGCTGTCTGTCCGGGGTCTTCTCTGGCCGTCCTCACCACAGCATCTGTGCACATCACCTTTAAATAAGAGTCACAGAATCCTAGAACACTAGAACTGGAGGGGACCTTGAGAGGTCATCAAATCCAGTCTCTTGTCCTCAGAGCAGGACCAAGCAGCATCTAGATCAGGGCTACTCAACACGCGGCCTGTGGGCCTCATGTTGCCCACGGCCCCTTGGTTTGCAGCCTGCGGTGCAGTTTGGGTTTACACAGGGCTCAACATGCAGCCCACGGGTGGAAGCCAAAACCAAAAATGAGTCAATAGAATGGTCTTCTGTTGAGATGCATTTTAGTAGTTAAATTCCTGGACTGTCATTGCTCATTAAAAGTGCTGTCCTAGAGGTGGAAATCGGGTCAATATTGCCTTTTCTTAATATCAGCAGAACTGACTTAAATGGGGCCTGCGTGCTGTGTAGTCTTGCCTTAATCTTGGTATTCATGCCCATCAGTGCAAAAAGCTATTTGCATATATATTTGCATGTATATGCAACCACACTTAAGTTGCGGCCCTCAGCATGTGCAGTATCATTGTGGCCCCCTGGGCTTCCAAAGTTGAATAGCCCTGATCTAGAGCAGTGTTTCTCAACCAGTGGTGCAAGTACCCTTAGGGGTATTCGAGAGGAGTCTGGGGGGTACGTCTACACAACTGAAACTTGGAGCAAACTGAATTTGTGTTTTAAGTTTTACAGCGTTTTATTGTTTTTGTACTTTTTACACCCAAAAATGTCATCGCCCGCCTGGCTACGATGAAGTTGTTTAAACAAATGTGTTGCAATAGAAGAAAAAAAATTGTGTGTGTCTGAAAACTGTAGGTACTGGGGGTACTTACTTTTTTTTTTTAAAGGGGTACTTTTTTTTTTAATAAAGTTGAAAAACACTGATCTGGATCATCCCTATTAGATGTCTGTCCAACCTGCAAAATAACTAGTAGAGAACTAATTTGTTAGGCACCACGAGTCTTAAACTCAGGCCGGTGCAGCTGCCAAGCAGGAATCTTATACTAGGCACCTGCAGCGTCTTAGCTTCCCAGCCCACCCTGAGGTAGGGAAGGAAGTGAGCCAGGAGACTGATGTGGAGTGAGAGGGGTCCAGTCAAAGATGAAGAGGGAGTTGCATAGGCCCCTGCCTAGAGGAACTGGATTAAAAGATTCCTTACCCTTCTCTCTTGTCTGACCGGGCCTCTGGGCAGGGCCAAGCCAGCCCCAGGAATGAGGAAGTCCATGATGTTTTATTTAAACTACACTTGGAATGTGAAAACTCTCCTTGGTGGGGATGCCTACAGGAAACTTGACAACGGTTAGGCTGTGGCGAGCCGATCCCTTGCTCCTGGTACTCGTCCCTCTCCAGCCCTTGTCTTTCTGACTTCGATTGGAAGCTCTTTGGGGCAGGGGTTGCCTTTTTTGGTCTGTGTTTGCACAGCGCTTTTAGGCCCTGCCTCGATACAAACGATAATGTTCAGAAAAAATCTTCAAGATGTTAAATCTTTCACCTCTGGCTCCGCTTCCACCCCCCTCCAAAAAAACTCTCAGCTGGGGGTAACGCTATTCAGAGCGACATGCAGCACTGCCCAGAAGGGGTCTCAAAGGACACAGCAGCCACAGTTGATACAGACTGGCACACTTAGTCAGGGGGAAGGAAATGTCACCTGTCATTTCGGATCCTCACCCTAGCAACTTTGCACCACTAAAGCCCTGAATACTGAGCTACAGCTAGACCTGGACCCTGTGCCAGTAGGCGGGTGCTTATATTTGAAGTCCCCGGTGCAGGGGAAGAGCAGGAGAAGGGAAACATGACGTGAACCATCCTGTTCCAGGCCATGGTTCCAGCAAATCCGATCTTCCTCATTTTCTCCCTCTGTTCAAACCTGATGCAGCGAACGTTCACCTTGGGCGTCTGCCTCTGCTCCCTCCGGCCCCTGCCCTTTTGAGAGTCACGTCAAGCAGATGGCTGGGATTCAATGGAAGCCTTGTGCGAAACTGACAAAGGGGGATTGATTTCCAGCAAAGCGGGGTGGGTGTGTGTGTGTGAGCGAGAGAGAGATGGTGTGTGTGTGTGTGGGGTGGGTTTTTTTTTCTGTTGTGGATAGGGCCGGGCTGCTCCTGGGAGAGTCAGGGGACCATGAGCTAAACCTGCCCATGCTGGTTTCTAGCCTCTATCGATTCTGGAGGCTCTTTGAGCTCCCTTCATCGTGACGTGTCCGGTGGACAGTGACCTCTGTGGCAACAGGATGCTGTCTCTTTCCACTCTGCATGCCGTTTGTAATCTGCGATGACCAGTAGCATCTAGCGGCCCCAGCGGAGATCAGGGCCCCATCGTGCCAGGAGCTGCACGCAGCGAGACAGTCCTGGCCCCCCATATCTGTCCGCCTCAATAGAAAGGCAGGCAAAAGACAAGAGGGTGCTGCTAACCCTCTCTGTGTCCCTACCTGTTCCTTGCTGGGTACTTCCTATAGCCTCTAAGGCTGGAGCCAGCTCCCTCCTCCTGGTCCATGAATAGGGCTCTCTAAATGCACTTGGAATACCAATAAGAATCCTCCTCCTCCTTTCATAGAATCCTAGAGCTGGAAGAGACCTCAGGAGATCAGCAAGTCCAGCCCCCTGCCCAAGCCAGGACCAAGCCCAACTCAATCAACCCAGCCAGGGCTTTGTCAAGCCGGGACTTAAAAACCTCTAGGGCTGGAGATTCCACCCCCTCCCTAGGGAACCCATCCCAGTGCGTCACCACCCTCCTAGTGAAATCGTTTTTCCTAATATCCAACCTAGACCTCCCCCACTGCAACATGAGACCATTGCTCCTTGTTCTGCCATCTGCCACCACTGAGAACAGCCTCTCTCCAGCCTCTTTGGAACCTCCCTTCAGGTAGCTGAAGGCTGCTCTCAAATCCCCCCTCACTCTTCCCTTCCGCAGACTAAACAAACCCAAATCCCTCAGTCTCTCCTCGTAGGCCATGTGCTCCAGCCCCCTAATCATTTTGGTTGCCCTCCGCTGGCCCCTCTCCAATGCGTCCACATCCTTTCTATAGTGGGGGGTCCTTCTACAGATGGGAATGAAGCACAGAGAGGCTACGGCCCAGCTATGTTTTTTTAGGCATTGCTCTGCTCACCTAACTGGGTGAGGAGCAGAAGCCTCATGGAAAGTGTATGGGACACAGGCTCCTGAGGCATCCATTCCTAGCTCCCTTAGGCCTTGCAGCGTGAACAGGGGGATGCCTAAATGTAAGTCTGCACCCCAGGCACCTGTCCCAGGCTGGGTGGTGAGTCCACCAGAGAGCGCTAGGAAAAGAGCCCCTGGAGCCTTTACTCCAAGGGTGGGGAGCCTTTTTTTCAGGTGGGGGCCACTGACCCACAGAAAAATCAGTCGGGGGCCGCGCACTCAAGTGAGAAATGGGGGGAAAAAACCCTCATTGGGGCCCCTGACTGAGGAGAGAGACACTTTCTACATGCCCCTTGCCCAGTCTAGTAGATTTTGTGTGTGACAGCCCCAGGGGGAGAGCGGCAGGAGGGCTGGAGTGCCAGCACAGGTTCCCCAATGCTGGGGGTGCCCTAAGCCACCGGGGGCTGGGTCCAGACAAGACGGGGGCTGCATCTGGCCCCTGGGCCTGAGGTTCTCCCCCCCCGCTTCACTCCTACTCTGCTGCTTTAACCACTAGGAAACACTGCTTCCCAGAGCCAGTGCTCTAGCCACTGGACCACGCTGCCAATGCTGAGAGCAGGGGGGTTGGGTTCTCGACTCAACCCCAGCTCCCTTCTTTGGTCAAACACCTGCCACTGTAGTAAGATGAGGGCCTGAAACATAAGCCCACGTATCACAGGCCAGGTATGAGGCCCAGACACAGTGGTCAAGACTTTGCTATAGAGCAGAGTTAAGCTGCGAGCAAGAGGCAGGTCCAGCCCACAGGGGTTGGAAAGAACAGGGCTGATATTACAGAAACACTCAGACCTTAGAGATACTTGGCACAGGCCAGAAGCACATTCCAGAGGGATGGTCACAGAACACCTGGTTCAGAAACATCTGGGTACCACTACGCACCCCTCAGATAACAGGAACAGACTGGCCCCAGGACAGGGTCTAAACTGACAGCATGCTAGACAGTGATCAAACCCCCATGTACAAGGTAACGGGTGGATCAACGCAATGTCAAAAGGTGGCAACCTGATATGTCAGGAGCGAGGTGTAACTTGAACCCCAGAGAATGGCCTTTGTCCAGCCAAGGGGGTGATGCTGGAACCATCATTATTGACTGAGGCTATGTCTAGACGGCAAGCTTCTTTCAGAAGAAGCGTTTCTGGAAGAGATCTTCCGGAAAAGCTTATTTCGAAAGAGAGCGTCCACACAGCAAAAGTGCGAGGAAAAAGCGATGTGCTTTTTTTGAAAGGGAGCATCCACATTGATTGGACACTATCTCGCATTTAAGTTGTGATTAGTCTGGATGAGTGGCCACCAGGGAACCTGTGTTGTTTCTTGGAGGCCTCTTCTTTCGGAAGAACTCCCTCTTCTGGGTCCACACACACCTTTTTCCGAAAAAACTTTTTTGGAAAAAAGCTTCTTCCTCATAGAATTAGGTTTCCCGCTGTCAGAAAACCCCCTGCGTTCTTTTGGCTTTCTGTCGAAAGAACTCAAAGACTGTGTGGACGCAAGTATCGTTTTTCTGGAAAAACGGCTGCTTTTCCAGAAAAACGCTGCAGTGTAGCTAGTCCGTTGTCATGGAGTACATATGCATAGTGGTAAGTCTGTTCGCTGACAACTATTTCTGTACTTTGCTTGGCAATAAACCTGGCTGGGTGCTTTTGATCCTTGTCTGATTTGTGGTCTCCGGGGGCTCAATCAGAGACTGTTGTGCTGACTAATTGCACGTGGCTAATACAGTAGACGGGGAAGTGCGCACATGCCCACAGCTGAAAGTTTATCATCATTGATGGAGCAGGTGACCTGTCAGGAACCCATCGGGCACGCCTGACTGCTGCCAGCCACCACTCGGAGTAGCTGGGCAAAAGGAGCAGAGATGTGTACCAGCCCTGCGAGCTCTGGTTCCTATAACAGAGGGCACATGGCCTGAGCAGCGTTTCTCAGGTGCAGCCAATGACAGTCTCCAAAGCGTGGGGGGTGGGTAGCAGCCCCTCCCTGCAGGCTCAGCTGGTGCATCTGAATAGCTGTTGTCATCTGGTGTTTGTGCTGCCAGCAGGGATCCTGCACTGAGCAGCCTCCTCAGGATTCTGAGGAGCGCCCCTGGAGAACACGTGGCGCCCATGGCACCAGACCTGAGGCAGCTTGTGTCAGTGGGGGCACCGACGCATTCCCCTGGGCAGCTGTCCTGCTCAGCCTGGGACTCCACAGACAGCTGGGGATCTCTGGATCCTCATTCTGGCTGCAGAGCTCCCGGAGGCAGGGATGGATTTGTCAGAGCGGCCATTGGCAAGAGCTGGTGGCCACACTCAAGCCACCCAGAAATTCACCATAAGAGCCCCTGGGATGGCCAGAGCCCTAAAAGAAGAGCTTAAAGTCATGAAGCGAGAGAACTCTAGACCAGCGGTTTTCAAATGACAGGTCACTGTCAGGCCCTGGGTCTCGTTGCTGCAGGGGGGTCAGGTGAGCAGTGGGGGTGTTAAGGCAGTTCCCTGCCTGTCCTGGCACCGCAGACTGGGCTGTGCCCCAGAAGTGGCCGGCAGCAGGCCCAGCTCCTAGGTGGGGTGGGGGAAGCACACAGGGCTTCATGCACTGCCCCTGCCCTGAGCACTAGCTCCACATTTCCATTGGCTGGGAACTGGCTGCTGCTGGGGGCAGCATGGTCTGCGGTGCCAGGACAGGCAGGAAGCTGCCTTAGACCCCCACTGCCCAGGAGCTGCTCACGTTAAGCTCCTCCTGCCCCAGTCCTGACCCACTCCAAAGCCAGAGCCCCCTTCTACGCCCCAAAGTCCCATCCCGGAGCCCACACTCCAGTCAAATTATGTTGGGTCGCGGCATCAGAGATTTTTTTCCCAACAGGGTCATGAGAAAAAAGTTTGAAAACCCCTGGGCTAAATGCTCGGAAACCAGCTGACCGATCAAACAGACCCCAAATCTTTGTTCCATTTCATGCCTTTTGCTTTGGCAATTCTGCGAAATACAAGCAATAACAATGTCCAGGCATCTCGATTTCTTTCCAGCCTATGAGGTCTTTCAGACCATAAACTCTACAGAGCGGGGGATACCACTTCCTTTGTGTTAGGAGAGGGCCTAGGACATGCTGAGCCTTAGTCTACAATTCCAGGTGCAGGCAGGCTGTATGTTCCTTCTGTGTCGCTGTGCAATGATACGTATTTTGATTTCTCTCCCCTTTATTTGCAATGTCTTTCCAGGACACAAATGTTTGACCCTTGCATAGACATCTCTAGCAAGGGGCTAGAGAGGAGGAATGAAGACAGCTAGGAGAATTTGAGGCTCTGTGGGCTTCATTTTTGCTCTTCTGAACATCCATCAACCTGCACCTTTAATATTTATTGTTTTCTCCTGCTCGGATTGAAAATGCTGACGATAAAGTTGCCTCAGATATTCAGAGTTCACCAAGTACCTCGTGTGAGTATTTCCTACGTCACCCTAATCCCATGTCCTGATCTGTGCAGTCTCAGTCAGTCTTTAAGCAGGAACTAGATCCAAAACAGGCAACCTTCTACACAGAACAAGTCCCAGCGTTGTCTCCTTTGTTGACCAGGCACTTCACCTACCCCTCTTTCCCCCACCCTCGGAGCTCTCTATGGCATGTGGAGCCATCTAGTGGCTAAATAGTACAACACGGACAGAACTTTGGGAGGCTACATGTAATTGGTGCATACAGTACGGCATGTACCGATATCTACTATCGAGTTGGGGGGAGTGTAAGTGCAGGGACCCGGATTAGTTTTATTTAGCATCTTTATACGTGATATGGGGAAGGCAGGTTAAATGAAATCCAGGCTCCAGGAAGTAGGGATGAGTTGCAAATACCACCAAGGACACGCAAATGTTGTAGCAGGCTTCAAACTAATAACAGAAAGTTCTTCTTCAGAAAGCAAATAGTCAACCTGTGGAACTCCTTGCTGCAGGAGGCTGTGAAGGCTAGAACTATAACACAGTTTAAAGAGAAGTTAGATAAATTCATGGAGGCTGGGTCCATGGAGTGCTATTAGCCAGGGGATAAAAATGGTGTCCCTGGCCTCTGTTTGGGAAGGCTGGAGATGGATGGCACGAGACAAATGGCTTGGTCATTGTCTTCGTTCCATCCCCTCCGGGGTAGCTGGTGTTGGCTGCTGTCGGCAGACAGGCTACTGGGCTAGATGGACCTTTGGTCTGACCCAGTACGGCCGTTCTAAGCTCATGGCTCAGGGTCGGGGGTCTTAGTGGACCACCTTGATTTTCATGCACACCTGCTCCTGGGTGGCCAGGCTGGCAGCTCTCCTGCCCTAGACGGCCACTTTCCTGTGCCTAGTGCGGAGGTCGTGGATGAGGTCCATGATGTCCGCACTAGACTAGGCAGGCGCCCGCCTCTTGCAGCCCCTGGCAGGCTCCTGGGAGCCCCCAGCCTGGTCCCGGGAAGAGGCGGAGGGCTGGGTGGCAGCGGGTGGCTGGCTCGTGCCAGGTGCAGGGTCTGCTGGCTGGGTGCTGGCAGGCTTGCACCTGGCACGGGCACCATAGCCAGCCCGTGCCCCTTTAAGGGCTCCAGGGCCGGGAGGGGGGCAGATGAGTTTCCCTGGTGGTGCCCAGAGTGGCCACCAGGGAAAGCTGGGGAGGGCTAGCCTCCCACTAGTTCGAATTAAGGGGCTACACAGCCCTTAATTCGAACTACTTAATTCGAACTAGGCTTAGTCCTCATAGAATGAGGTTTACCTAGTTCGAATTAAGCGCTCCACTAGTTCGAATTAAGTTCGAACTAGTGGTTTGCCTGTGTAGCGCCTATCAAAGTTAATTCGAACTTACGTCTGTTAGTTCGAATTAACTTTGTAGTGTAGACATACCTTGCTGATTTGAACCATATGGGGTTTGCCATCTTTCTGCTATTAGTCTGTTTGTTCAGATTCATTGTGTCTTCCGTATTCAGAGTCTTATCCCCAATGGTGAAAATGGAGCTGTTGGGGCCAGATGCCTGGCTGGTGTAAATGGGTGTCACTCCACTGGACTGATTGATGCTGGTGGTGGATCTGGCCCACCATGCTTTGGGATGGTCTCTGGCAGGCACTTGGGTTAGCACCTCCCCCCAACCCCTGCATGAAATGTAGTGAGTGAAATGTCTGTGAATGGAAGAGGCGGGGTGGGTGGCAGGCCAGGCTCCCTGTCCCCGGCTGAACTTTCTGAGCAGAGAGCATAAGTCAGGCTCTGTTCCCAGAAACCCAGCCCTGCCCCTCCCAGGCAGTGATTCCAGCGCTGGAGGCCGCATCACGGGTGGCCCCGCTGCTCTCCTCCAAAGGGGGGCTCCCTGCCACTCCCAGCACAGGAGCTCACGTGTGTGTGTGTGTGTGTGTGTGTGTGTGGTTGGGGGGGAGTTGCCTCTGGATTTCACCAGGAGCAGAGTAAGGGGGGCAGGGGAGTCAGAATTCTGCGGGGGTGTGTGTGGCAGACCTGAGTTCTCCCCCAGCTCTGCCACTGATCCGCTGGGTGACATTGGCCAAGTCCCTGTCCCCTTTCTGTGCCTCAGTTTCCCCATTCTGTCCTTCAGTTTCCTCAATCTGTACAATGGAGGAAGAACAGAAATGGTGCTGACCCCCTGTGAAAAGCATGTGGAGCTCTTACAGGGGGCTGTTCCAATGCTGATTTCACACATCCCGGGATGAACTAATGACCCATGTGGCTTTTCTCCCCTGGCAGATCTTCTGGGAGGATGGCATCATATCGGGCTACCGCCACCCCAAGAGCTCAGCCTTGGACTGCATCCTGAGCTCCTTCCAGATGACCAATGAGACTGTAAATATCTGGACACACTTCCTTCCCACCTGGTAAGTGACTGACCGGGCAGCGCTGTGTGAAAGCGTCTGTTCAGTAGTGGGGCAATGCCCACCCTGGTTGGGGGCATGGGCATGTTCAGTGGAGATAGGGAACCTATGAGAGCTGATGGGGAATCTTTCAGCTAAACACCTCTGTCGGAAAAGGCCCAGAGGTCGCAACTCTTCCTGGTCCATTTCAATGGACGTTATTTGTACTCCCACTTCCCCTCCACACACTTTTTTTTGAGGACTGCTAGACAGTTTTGTTTCAGGACTTTCCAAACTCAAAATCTGGAGCGACCCAACCCTACCCCTACAGTTAAGAAATATAAAGCCAGTGATGATAATCAACCCCCTCCTCATCAAAACCACCCCCCCCAAAATCTTCAAAACAAGGCATTCCTATCGACCTGAAGTTTCCTTTTGAAACTTTTTTTAAATTTTTTTGTACCATTTCTGAATGGGAAAATCCACTGATGCCTTGGACTTTGACGGGGGCAGAAAAACTATTTTGCCACCCACCTAGTACCCACCTTTCGCTGCTGCGGCATCACCCTTGGTTTGGGGGGTAGATACCAACCCAAAGCTTGCCCTGCCTCTTGCAACATTACCTAGGAGACGGGACTGAAGGGACCGCCTAGGTCAGAGTCTAGTTCAGAGTCTAGTTCAGGCTACCAACGCAGGTCATCCCCTTAGGGAACTGATCACCATCTTCACACCAGTTGACTGTGGGCCCCAACGTTTCCTGCTGTGCCTACTGCCCTTTACCCAAAAAACAATAGGAAGCCACTACCACAGGGTCCCCAAGTAGGTGTTAACTCTTGAAGGAACTTTGTTCCATCAATGGGAGCAGGGTGGGCAAGTGGCCGGACCAGGGAACTAGGAGTCATTTCTCTGGGGCTCCGTTTGACAAAGCAAAGAAAAGCCCAGGGCTAGCCCAGGCCAGCTGACTCAAGTTCGTGGGACTTTGGGGCTGTTTCACTGTGAAGTAGACTTCCTGGTTTGGGCTGAAGCCTGGGGTGTGGGACCAATGTTCCCTTTAATTTTTTCCCATCCATGTGCGGAATAAATTTTGTTCTGATCACACCAAGGCATGTGTGGACGTGCACCACCCGTAGAGACACCTGCTGCCAGCTATGGCTGCTCTACTAATCTGGGCAGCATTGGCCTCTCTCCTGGGTGGCTGCCCAAGCGCACAGCTCACAGGGAACACTGTCTGGGACCCTCCTTCCCATCAGGGTCCTAAAGCCAGTCCTTCAGCCTGAGCTTAGAAGTGCACATTGCAATGAAACAATCCCGCAGTCTGAGCCCTGTGAGCCCAAGTCAGCTGGCATCGGCCACTGTGAGAAGGCAGGATACTGGGCTGGATGGTCAGACCCTGTGTGGCTGTTCTTACGTGTCTGGGTACTGCACAGCTGTCCTATGAGGGAGTCTGGTGAGTAGAGCAGGATAGCGGGAGGCCTGACTCCTGGGGTCCGTTCCCAGCTCTCAGAAGAACGGGGGTGGGAACTGGGGATGGGTATCTAGGGCAGGGGCACGGGGAGTCAGGAATCCTGAGTTCAGTTCTGCGCACCCCTCTCTGCCTCGGTGTGAACTGAAACGCAACGCTGGGTCTAGAACTCCCAAACCTCGGAGGATGTGGGGAGTCAGCGAGATCTGATTTTGCGAGGACCCTGCTGGGGGTGCTCTAGTCCCTTGGCTGCGCCCTCCTCATTTGTGCCCTCTCAGGTATTTCGTGTGGCGGTTCCTGGTGCTCTCCTCCTCCCTGGATTTCTGCAGCGACGCCTACCACTGGCCTTTCCTGGTCTACCTGTTGCTGGTCTGCGTGTACCCCTTCACCTCCAGCTGTGCCCACACCTTCAGCACCATGTCTGCCCACGCCCGCCACATCTGTTACTTCTTTGACTACGGAGCCCTGAGTCTCTACAGCCTGGGTAAGTCCTGAGCGCCCATGTGGCAAGAGGGCAGCGAGTCAGACATGAGGCAGAGGGTCTCTGAGGATGTATCTAGGGATGCGCTTGTCACAGAATTCAGTGCTGGAATCTGGACACCTTCCCCAACTGGATCTGTGTGCCTGGGGCAGGTGCAGCTCTGGTTAACAGCTGGGCCTTTGGGAACACCATTCTCCTCCTGGGTCAACCAGGCAGCTCCCCATTGGCTGATGTAAATTGGCATAGCCCTAGAGATATCAGTTGACCCCAACTCTGCCCACAGGAGGCCTGCCCCTGGTTAGTAAGTCACCCCCATGCCAAATAAGGCTCTCCACCAAAGAGAGTCCCTTTCAGGCCCCTTTGGTCTCAAACAGCCCCCTGAGGGCTAGAAATCTGCTCCCTCGGGTCATTTCCAGTGTATCTTGTCCGTGTTCATCCCTAAAGGCTCGCCCGTTTCCCTCCAGAGCCACTGGTCAATTTCAGTTTGGAGCGTGAGTTCTTTCTGGACTAGTTTTTGCCCAAATCCTCAAGTCTGAAGCATGACAAATAACAAACCGAAATTGTTTAGGGTTCATTGGCAATTCTGAAAAAAAAAATTAAATGGAAAACAGAACGGTCCCCGTGAACCAGAAAATCCCAAAGGTTCCATTTGGGGTTGAATGAAGCATTTCATTCCATGGAACGTTTTGGGCTGTGTTGGAGCAATTTTAAATGGAAAAAAAAACCCTTTCCTAAAAATGGAAAACTTTGAAAGAAGCCATTCTAAATTGAAATGTTTCGTTTCAGAAAATGTGGAAATTAAATATTGATAACAATTTGACAAAACTGGCACAAATTGGTTGGGTCCTTTTGGTGTCACAGAATCTACATTGATTGATTGATTTTTTGCCAAATTATGATGGTTTAGTTGAAAAACTCCACCCAGCCTCTATTCAGTTCCCAAAAGTGGTTTTATGAGTTTGCCGGTTTTCCTGCCAGTAAGCAACTAAATGTGACCTGGAGTCTATATCAATGCCATCCCGTAATGTAGTGTGTTTGTGTTATAGGCTGTGCTTTCACATATGGAGCCTATGCGATGCCAGACCGCTGGGTTAACGGCACTTTACACCATTACTTTGTACCAATGGCTGCTTTTAACTCATTTATCTGCACCAGTCTGTCTTGTTACTCCCGGTATGTAAGGATCTATGCAGTATCAAGAACATATTATGCAAAATATCAGGGCGTTCTCCATTTCTCTGCTTTGCAAAGCCCCCTTGCATCTGTTTCTTTATACATAATACACTAACACCCCAGCCAGTCTGCAGATCTGTCCTATTAGTTCGTGAGGCAAGTTATTCCAGTGCTCAACATCCATGCAACCTTGGTTGATTTCAGCAGGGGCTGCACCGAGCAGGCTCGTGCATAATTTCACAAGTTGATTTGAATGCCGTGCAGAGTTAGCCTGTGGAACTCCTTGCCACAAGATGCCACTGAAGCCAAGAGAACAATCCATGGTTATGTTACTTATCATACAAACAACAGACAAACATTTCAACCTTTCAAGGCATAAGCCAACCTCTAGCTGACAAGGGGCTGGGAAAAAAACTTCCTCTGCGGTGGGTGTGTTCGTTCATAAATATCCACTGGGCACTTGGCACCTGTCTGAAATGTTTGGCTCTGTCCATTGCCAGATGTGGTTGGTGAGGTAACATCTGTTACTCAGCCTTGGTGAGAAGAACGCTCTTTGAGCCTTAAACAGGGCCCTTTGTCACTGGATCCTGGGACTTCTGCCGTGGCTGATTTGACTCAAGAGTCTTCAGGCGGCGGGTAGAATCCATAACCCATCATATCATCTGTGGTGTTGGAAGCAAGGGTCTTTACTTCAACTAGCGATCAGACAAATCGCTTTGTAGAATCCTAACCATTCAGTCTTGAAAGGGAACCTGTACCCCGGTAGCGTGAGACTTGTCATCTAGTAGCCATAGCAGCTGAAAGCAGCAGCGTAGCGAGGGGGTTATGTGTCTGGGGGCAAAGGAAAAGTTTGCGTCCCCCCTCCCCCGTCCCCGCAGCTGGACTGCGGGGCCTGAAACCTGGTGCACGGCTCAGCCTGACCCTGGGAGGAGTGGGGAGAGCTTGTACCACATCTTCCCCCGCAACCTCCAGTTTGGGGCCGGGCCCCACCACGCACTAACCCGCCGGTGGAGATGGAGGAGGGTTGGGCTGGGGGCGGAGAGGCAGGGAGGAGACTCCAGCCAGTGGTGAAGAGCGGAGGAGGAGCAGGCGAGCCAAAGGATGACAGGGAGAGCGGAGGGGGACTAAATAGGCGCCCCCCCTTAGCGTGGCACCCGGGGGCAACTGCCCTTTCCAGAGGTGAAAGTGTGCGGCTCCAGCAAGAGCTGGCTGAGCTGTTAAAAGAGCCGGCAGGGACCCCGGTTGTAGTAGGACAGGACCTTTAAGAAATTGTAAGTTACTTTCCCCGCTGTAAGGCGGTGTAGGAGCACCCAGATGGATACATAAGCCTACATACCCGGAGGGCTGGGGCTACGCATTTAATGGCTAAGATTTTCAAAAACTGGTGTCATAAATTCAAATTGGCTTAATTTCCAGAATCCCTGGGCAGCTGGGTGGTGGGTGACCCCAGGGCTTGGGGAAGCAAGCCCCCTTCAGCCCCGCCCACCCCCGTAGCCTGCTGGCCTCTGGCCAGGCTTCCCCCCTACGTCCCCAATGTGGCTGTTGGCTCTTGCCCCTCCCGGCCACAGGGTATCACCCCCCCCAACCTCCCCTGGCCCTGGAGAGCCAGCAAGTGGTGTGTCCCCAGCCTGCCCTGGCCCTGGAGCTCTGGAGAGCAAGGCACAGGGCTGGGTATGGGTGGGGCCAGGAGAGGCAGTTTGGGAAGGCCCATGCCTCGGGCACCCAGCTGACCTCGCCGGGCATCTCAAGAAGGGCACCCAGAGATCGGGGGCAAGGTCTGAAAACGTTGGCCGGAGGGATGTGCAACGAACTGGGAGAGCCACCCATGGGAAGCAGCAGGGGGCACAGTACAATACTCTTGTTTCGCTCCGCCCCAGAAGCGCTACCTGCCATGAGCCCCGGGGCTGTGGTCTTAGCATCTATCTATTTACTTTGATCTGCTTAGGTTTAAGTACCCATTCTCCAGATACTTAATGATGCCTTGTCTCACCCCCACCCCCTTTTCCTTTTTTTCTTTTTCTCCCCCCTCTCCTTCCCCTCTCCTATTTATTTTGAGTTTTCATATCCCCTACTCATAACTCCGGTCATCTGGAGAAGTGGGCCCATGGAAGCTCATGATACCTTCTGCATGTTTTGTTAGTCTGTCAAGTGCTACCAGACCATTTGTAGGTTTTGGTTGTCATTTAGTAGTAGGCCCAGGAATGTGACCTCCCGAGTAAAACCTGCTCCCGTTTGACCAGCAGGCTTGTTGTGCAGTCAACAGGAGCGGTCCAAGGCCGGCTGCGGCAGCTGACACCCCAGGCGGAATGCGTGATCGGCACCCCTGCCTACATGGCCATCAATGGCCGTGACGTCATCATTGGGCACCCTGTGACATCACCATTGGGTCGCCCTAGGCGACCGCCGAGTCTGCCTATACTCATGGGCCGCCCCTGGCGGTCACTATCCCTTCTGCTTCGTGCAGCTGGAGGGACGTGTTGTGGATTCGTGCAGGGTGAAGTTCACTGGCTTTCCCACCCACCTCAAGCTCTCTTCTTAATCTTTCCTTGACGCTGGTCTGCTCTTGAAACTGAGCAGAGCAGCCGCTGCTCCTGCGGAGTCACCGGGCTTCCGTCCCGCAGCCGAACAATGAAGCGTTTTTAGTACCAAAGGGAGGTTCTAGTCTGAGATGGGGAGGTTGCACCGATGGGCCTGCGTGCAGCTGGCCTTTCCTGCCTCTCACTTCCTCCAGGTCAAATCTGTTTTTATTCAGCGGTGAAAGAAAAGTGGTTTCAGCTTCCAGCCTGGCAAAACTCGGCCTGGGTCTGAGGAAGGGCATTGTCAGTGATCACAAAGACCTGGCACAGCCATGTGCCGTCGGGTGGCCAGGGAGGTAGCTCAAAAAGAGAGGACAGCTGCACTTAGTGCATAGGGGGCCCAGGGCAGAGGAATGTGGGGGGTTCAGGAGTTAGGGCTGGGAGTGGAGGGCCCCAGGCTTGGAGGTAGAGGGGCGAGAGTGGGGAGGCCAGGGCGGCATTTTGGGGGAGGGCTGCAGCTGCACATACCGGAGTCCCTGCTCCTCTTCTTTCTCTGACTCTGAGGGAATAAGGGGAAAGTTCACAGCCTGTTGCATCCTCCTCTGCCCTCCGCTCCACAGCCAGGAGCAAAAGGAAGGCCTAAGCTGAGCACTTTCCCTTCCCTCCCTGTCAGGGGAAGAGGAAAAAGACCCAGTATGCACAGCTCAGCCCTCTCCCATCTTGCCAAAAGGGCTCCTGCCAGGGGGGTGGCTGGGGCAGTCTCAGATGGGGAGGGGAGCATGCACACCCCCAGCCAGCGCAACCTGCCTGGCTACCTGCTGCTTCGCAAAGCAGCTTGCAGGAGAATCCCGGGAGCCCAGCCCGGTTTCTTGCTGGAGCGCCGCACCAGCTGGGTCTCGAGAAAAATAGAGGGCATAAAGTTGTCCTGTTCTGTATCGATGGATGACAGAGGGCAGAATAGTAACAAACAGGTCTGTCCTCTATATAAGAGGATGAACAACCAACCTAATGCGCCATCAGGACCACCTCCTCCAACTCTCTTTCCTCTAGAGGGTTTGTGTAGGTGACTGGAACTAGTAAGCAATTCTGCCACTACACAAAAAGGCACACAATCCAGCGGGCTCTGCAGGGGCACTGCCGCTCTTCAGGGTTACAGCAGGCGTGCAACACAGTGTAAATTTATTTTTTCTACTGAAAGTCAGCCGAGCCAGCACCGCACGCACACAGATCTGCTGAGAAAGGGGTTTTGAGTGTAGCTTTCCAGCATAGAATGGCAATTTCTTCTTTTTTTTTTTTAGCAGCATAGTTTCCACCCTAACTTGAAATAGAAATAGTGTCCAAGCGCTGTGTTATGCAAGAAGACAGCCAGACTGGGCAACAATTGAGACTTATTTTCACAACATTCTCTGAGCCGAGTTCACTCCCCTTAATTCTGGGAAGGGGAGAGAGAAGCAATCAAGCAACCTTCTGGATTTGATTATCTGAAAGGATTAGACTAATCACAATGGACAGGATGGGCTTCTGTTGTCTTTGACTCCCTTCCTTAGGGTGTTGTGTGTGGGGGGGGGGAGGATGTTAAACCCACGACAAACACTCATCCGCTTTTTACAAAACCTTAAAAGTGATGATAAATTTCCACCTATATAGCTGCAGTGTCAGCTCCTGGTGGCCTTCTTGTGTGTGAGATCAGGAAAGGGAAATTGACTAAAAACAAAAAATCCACCCCTGCCTGGATTGTAAATGCGCCCTGGTGTGAAATTCACTAGGAATACTAAGATGAAACTGACCAGGTTGTGTATTTTCCACGCTGAGCGAATTGCAAACAGTAAATTAACATTTCAGTCTAACAATGAATTTCATCCTGTTCTCTGCTCTTAATCATTCAGACTTGGATTTTCAAAGGGGACTAATAGATTTAGGCACTTGAAAGAGTTTTGTGTCTGAGACCCTTAGGGGATCCTAATCAGAATAGCTAGCGCAGAATAAGATAGTAGGTAGTAGCTAGTTCAGAATAGTTCTAAGTGTCCATGCAGTAATCTGGAATAAAAAATACATTTGTTACAGAATAATTAGTGAGCTTTCAAAAGAGAGTAATTATTCCAGAATAAAATCTTTTATGTTAGACTAGAGTGTTTGCATTGGAGCTATGGCAGAATAATGTATTTTGCACTTGTTAATTACTCTGTGTAGACAAGACCTTAGTCTCCTTTGAAGAATCAATCTCCAGCTTCCATGTGTGAAGGTTCCTTTGCAGTACCTGGCTTGTGAGCGTTGCTGTAATAATCTGCTAACACACCACGGCACTGGTAAAACAGGGGAGATTTGATTTGGTTTCAACATCTCTTCCAGACCTAAATGTAATGAGGCTCATAGGCAGCCCCTAGTGACTGTGCAGTTCTTAATCCTGACCTCTCCCTGTGTGATTCCCAGTTTCCCAGAATTGGAGTGTCCCCGGCTGAGCAAGATTCTACGGACAACGGCCTTTGTGTATCCCTTTGTCTATGACAATATCCCGCTGTTTTATAGGGTAAGTCCATTTCAGGAGCAATTTGGGGTGGGGCTCTCCTGTCCTAGGCCTTGATGCAAGGTCCTGAAGCACAATACATTACTGAATACCCATGGTGTCTAGAGACCTCAGCTGACAAAACCACTACCCCATAGAGCAGACACTAAATAGATGCGGGGTAGCAGAAAGGAAGCACTCTTCTCCCCATTGTACAGATGGGAAAACTGAGTGAGGGGGATGAAGGCCAAATTTTTCCAAAAGGGGCTTGTGACGGACTGGGCCGGGTCTGGGCACAGCTGAGAGCATCCGCTCAGGGCAAATTGCTCAAATTTGGGGCTCCTGACAGCCCCCAGACTGGTGACCTTTCCAAACAGGCCACAAACCAGTCCCACAGAGCCGCTTCAGCTGCCTGCCTGAAGCCTCACGAGCAAAACCCCTCCGACACCCCAGTAATATCCGTGCCCCAGATGGTCCCGGGCCTCATACACAGGTGAGGGGTCTTAGAACCCTATCTCACCTACCCCGAACAAGTTCTATCCGGTTCCAAGAAACCAGCCACAGATCCCTGGTCAATTTACCCTCTGTACCTTACCCACAAATCATACTGAGCCAATCCTTTAGCATCTAACATCTAAAAGTTTATTGCTACAAGAAAGAAAAGCAGGAGAGTGACGTTGCTAAAGTATCATACATTACATGCATCGAATCTCCCAGTTCTCAATGCAGGCTCTAGCAGAGATGTTATAGCTGCTGGCTTAAAAGTCCTTGTTGCGCATCCTAGGTCAGGATGGGTCCACAGTTCTTTCCAGCTCTTCGATCCCTGCACTGCTGCCTCTGGGATGAAGTGCTGAGCTGAGTACCAAGACGGAGTCAGCCACATGGCCTATTTATCCCTCCTTCCTGCTCTCTATTTGGCTACAGCAGGCTTCTCTTTGACACCTCACATGGCCCTCCTTTGTGCCACTTTTGGGGCCAACACCCCCCCATGGATGCAGCAGTGATCTGGCTGCTCCCCTCAAAATCCAGTAATGTGACAAGAGACCTCAGCTGACAAAGCCACTACCCCATAGAGCAGGTGCTAAATAGATGCAGGGTGGCAGAAAGGAAGCCCTCTTCTCCCCGTTGTACAGATGGGAAAACAGAGAGAGGGATGAAGGCCAAATTTTCCAAAAGGGGTTTGATTTGCTTTCTTTGCTCTTTGGAGCAAGGGTGTCTTTTTGTTCTACATCTATATAGCACCTAGTCCCATGGGGTCCGGGTACAGGACTGGGGTCCCTAGATGCTACCTCCATACTAATCATAAATGAATGTTCACCATGAGACACCTAGAAAGGTCTTGAGCAAGGATCCCTCTAATCTTTTCCATCCATGTGCAGAATAAATTTTATTACATGCACCGAGGCATGTGTTGATGATGTGCACCACCAGGCGAAACACAAACCTAGCTGTGGGCTCTCTGCTAATCAGCTGGGTAACACTGGAGTCTCTCCTGAGTGGCTGCACAAGCACACAGCTGACAGTGAACACTGGCTGAGTTTCTAAGACTGAAGGACTGTAAATCGGTCCCTTTGAGGTGTCTTGCATTGGGGGCCCAACAATTTGCCCCTGGGAGCCTGCAGAAGAGCCAGGCAGGGACTCAGGGACTTAGGAAAGTGGGTCTGACCAGCTACGGGTGTGAGCTACCACAGAGAGGGCATGTTCACAGAACACATTCGTTTTTTTTTTTAAAGCGGGTGTCTCTTTAATCCCCCCTGCTGTGTTACGGCCTGCTGTGCAAACAGCAACAGTGTGGGTAATGGGAATGCTTCCCTGGCGTGTTTTCTGCCGCATGGCAGGATGTGACTCAGCCTTACCAGAAAAGCTCTGGCTTTTCGTTTGCTCCTGGCGCTAGCAGGGCTGCAGAGGGCGCGGAATAGAACCACCAGAGAGGTGGCTCTTGAAGCTGCAGGATTTGGGGTGGGGAATCGAGACCCTCCTGCTCCACTGTCTGCAGCTGTAACTGCACCTGGGCCTGCTCTATACCTGCAACTTCGGTCAGCCGAGCTGTGTGGCTCAGGGGTGCAGAAATGCCCTCCCCCTGCCAGACTCCAAACCTCAAAGCTCTGTCCGCTAGAGCCGGGCTACTCAACTTTGGAAGCCGAGGACTGCAAGTTAAGTGTGGTTGCATGTACATGCAAATATATATGCAAATAGCTTCTTTCACACTGATGGGCATGAATACAAAGATTAAGCCTTAAGCAGCGGTGCCGGACCCAAACGTGGCCAGTGTGAGCCAATCAGCACCTCTCAGGCTCTGCCCACAAGTCTAAGCAGCCAGCACTTCCCACAATGCCCTGGCGCTCCCGGCACCTCCTCCCTGGGGGCTAGAAAAGCCAACACCCTGTACCCATCTCATAGAATCATAGAATCATAGAATAATAGGACTGGAAGGGACCTCGAGAGGTCATCGAGTCCAGCCCCCCGCCCTCAAGGCAGGACCAAGCTCCGTCTACACCATCCCTGACAGATGTCTATCTAACCTGTTCTTAAATATCTCCAGAGAGGGAGATTCCACCACCTCCGTTGGCAATTTATTCCAATATTTGACCACCCTGACAGTTAGGAATTTTTTCCTAATGTCCAATCTAAACCTCCCCTGAGGTTCCAGCCAGCCCGTCTGCTTGTGTCTTTCAATGCTCATCCCACATGGGAGATGCCTCGCGTGTTCCCAGGGGAGGCCATGTTCAAAGGATCCCATCCGCGGGCTGTGTGCTGAGCCCCGTGTAAACCCAGACCGCACCACGGGCTGTGTGTTGAGTAGCCCTGCACTAGACCATCCTGCCTACACTGCTAGGTTGCTGGAACAAATCTGCCCTCCACATCTACCACCACTCAAGGGGCTGGGTGAAGTACAGGCAGTCCCCGGGTTACGTACAAGATAGGGACTGTAGGTTTGTTCTTAAGTTGAATCTGTATGTAAGTCGGAACTGGCGTCCAGATTCAGCCGCTGCTGAAACTGATCAGTTTCAACAGC